ATTAGTTCAGACATTGTTTAAAGTAAACTTACTGCAAAAGGGACATCATGCTGATTTGGTGCAAGTAATGGAGACAGTATATTGGCTAGCAGAATACCAACGGGATTGGAGACAGATGCTATCATATTGGCAGTTGCTCTCTGATCTCCTTGGAACCATGTAGCTGCAAGCTTGGTGGGGGAAAACATCACAAACGGCTGGGAACAAGCGGCTAAGAATTGACCTGATATTAATACTGGGAATCGGGCTTGCTGTGGTACAAATGAAAGGGTACTAATTACCCTAACTCCACATCCAATTGCGTTCAGCCAGGATCCAAGTACAATCTATGGAAACACAGATACTTTTACGGTAAATTACATATTGTAAATTGTTTTTGTGTTTCAAGTTTGTATATTTTTTTTGTACTCAGTTCAAAATACTTTGTTGAGAAAAGCAATCTGACATTAAGCTACACTGTTTCAGCATGCAATACATGTAGTTACATGAACATCATAGTAGACTTGGCTTTGTTTGCATTCTAAGTGTTTTCACTCCTGTCTTATCGCTGATAAGGATAAGTTTATAGTACTAAAGTTATGGATTTATCAACTCCAGTTATAAGATATATCTTTACATTAATATGATGAAATAAGCTAGTCTAATAGAGGATCCACTCAAGGTACATGTACGTATACTAAGTTTAAAAACAATTCAAACCAGCAGTTATCAGGAAGAAGTCAAATAGAAGTCATATTCATCAAAATTACAGAATTGAAGACAATGTCACAAATATATACCAAGTATCAAAGCAGTTGGAGTGGGGTTTTAAGGAAGTTGTTGAAAAATATAATTTTTGACCAGAATTACAAAATATTGCCATAAAATAATCAAATATCACAGAGGTCTACCCAAGGAATATACGTATGTACCAAGTATAAAATAAAATTAAAGGCACAATGTGGCTATGCTAACCACTTGCACAGCATATGTTAGGGCTAATACAGAACATGTTTTAAATTTGCAAACACGATTTCTATTATCTTCATTGAACCAGTTACATGGTAATCACATTAGGATCTGTATGTTTGTGAAGATTCGACTGATGTACCCTGTTACAGCATTTCCACATCACGCAACATTTATAGACAGCAGTTAACTACTCAAGTCGCTATATTCATCAAAATCTCAACTCCTACGCTATTTATTGGCATAAATACAACATACAATCGATTCTGTGTTAATCATAGTCACAATCATCCACTTTAGTAATAGACAATCGCTTTTTAAATTGAAGAAAACAGTTTACCGCAGCTTTCCTGGAGCCGTGAACTGAATTAGCCAAAAAAGTAATGTTGTTGTGCTGAATAAAATCTGTGTTATACTTACACTAGCTCTAAGTCCCATTGTATCTAATAACCAGGATGCACATATACCTAATGGTATAGAGGCTGTCATGAAAATAAGTGATAGCCAATTGACCTCATTGTAACTAATTTTGAAATATTCCCCCGCTCTGTCAGCAATAGGACCAAAGGTCATCCAGATCTAGAAGAAAAAAAAGAAAAAAAAAACATTTGTTAAAATTACCATACTATGGATGTAGAGCAACAGTCATTGGGTCACGTTGCATTGTGTGTGGGTCCCATAGAATGTAAGTAAACAACATGTGTAAATTACATTGTTTACACAAAATTAGAACAGCAGCAACTGTGGCACATTAAAATTCATGTAGAATTTGAATATCTGATCGGATGGTATTTAAAACTGTACAAAAATACATTCCACTATCTTATGATCTTCCATTCTGCTTTTACATGAATTGCCGTAAATATGATTTCTTTACCAATGTTCAGCACATTGTTGACTACACGTTACGATCATAGCAAGATATACATGGATAATGTAGCATGTAGTGATTGTCATACAATGATCACCATCCTTTAACACATAGCATACTGATGTCATTTTTCTCATTAATTTTAGAGGCTTTTAGCAGGCATTGTGTTAT